AGCCTGAATTAATTCAGTTAGTTGTGTGCATTTATTTAAAATAGGAGCTGCAAGATGTCTTCACAGTGGAATTTTTTCTGTCTGTACGTAGCATTTAGGGCACGCTGCTGTTGCTGCATTTCGATCATGGATGTGCTGTTTCTAAACCACAACCATTCTGTGGTTGTTAGAAGACTAGCAAAAGTTGCTGCTATGGCATAATGTGAGCAGGATCACCTGCTCCTTGGAGGCAGTCCCTGAAACGCATCCAGTGAGCCATAAGTTGGGCTTTTGTGGACCGCTGGCTTCCTTGAGTGCTTTGTGTCACAAGAAGGTTATTGTAGCAGAAGTAGGCATTGGGCTAATGGGAAATAGCTGTCGGCTGTTCCCTGCGTCAGGACCTGGTGGTGAGCAGCATGAGGCATTGGTCATCCAGCTGGGTTCTCACCGTGTGCATTGCGTGGGTTTCTGGTTGATGTTAAGGTCAAGGACTGTATTATGAGTGATGTGCTGATGAAGCTGGAGATATTATTTCAGATGTACAGCAGGATTGGTATTTTCCCAGAGACTCGTTTCGTTGTTTTTTCTTTTTTAAATTGGAATCATATATGGTTTATATTTTTCCTGTTGCTTCCAAGGTGATGGATGGCATCGTGATTGTCGTCTTCCCCTCAAAGCCCTGCAATGGTAACATTTAAGATTGGTATATTTTCCATTTTCTGAGCAGACAGAGCAGACTTAGGAGGACTTCTTAAAAATTATTTTGATCCATGGAATAAAAAAAAAAAAGTCAAATCCTCATATTCAATACTTGAATAATCTTTTGGTTATCCCTTAACAGAACAACTTTGTGCTCTCTTTCTCTCTTTTAACATAAATCAGCTTAAATAAAACTGAGTTTTGTATTGTGAAAATGCCTGCTGGAATGGGAAAGGAGTTATTAATATGTAGATATGCTTAGGTGGCTTCACTTATAGGTAACCTACAAAACCTGACATTTTGGCAGGGTGGTCATAAACCTTTCTGTGAATCTATACTGTATCATAAGGCTTAGTTTAATCTTTTATTTAGACTTGAGCATTTTTTGTGCATTAATTTTTTAAACACTTTTTGATTGGCTTTTAAGAAAGTGCCTTCCCCCCCCAAAACAGCAACCCTGTGGGAGAAAGTTCCACAGCTGTTTGGTGACTTGTTCTGGTGACTAACTTGTGCCTTTGTGTACTTTCTTCTATTTAATTTTGTTATCTTAACTGAAAAAAGTGAATGCAGTGGGATGGTTTTTGGAGTAGGAGTATTGGATGTCAGGGGGAAGTTCTTCACAGAGAGAGTGGTGAGGTGCTGGAACAGCTGCCCAGAGAGGCTGTGGATGCCCCGTCCATCCCTGGAGGTGTTCAAGGCCAGATTGGATGGGGCCCTGGGCAGCCTGGTCTAGCATTAAATGGGGAGGTTGGTGGCCCTGCATGTGGCAGCGGGGTTGGAGATTCATGATCCTTGAGGTCCCTTCCAACCCTGGCCATTCAGTGATTCTTTGAATCCAGCTTCCAGTCACTGGTAGCTCTGCATGTACGGTTTTTTCTTTTTCAGTGCAAGACCTTTCTGTTAACGCTGGTCTTCTCTCTTTGAGTCAAATGATCCCTTCACCTTCCTTTGAACTCAGACGATCTCCTCATTAGTATATGAAAGTTCTTCATTCATTCATTGCTTTTCTGAGTATTCAGTACTCCATCATAGTGAAGGCAAACTGTTCCCCTGGCAGTGCTGTGACATACCAAGGTGGTAGCTGGTGGTACTTGATGTTCTCTTGTCCTAGGTTGCTGCTATTTGTATTACATTGTCACCGGGGGACTGTCTTATCCTGTTTACTGCTGCAGCTCCAGCCTTTTCTTTCTTCCCCTTACATCTCTTTATTAGAAGTGGTATTGGTGGAAGGCTATGGCAGAACATCCTATGGACACAGGAGGGTTACTACAGTCACCTTTACCTTTTTGCTGTTAGGAGGTGGAGCTGCTCTACACATGAAGCAGGGACCAAGCAAGGTTTGGTATCAGTAGTAGCTGCTAGATCTCTAAACAGCTATATGAGCTATATGAGAAATTCCAAGTACTGTTAACTTGTACAGTGGAACAAGTTTTGTCCTTTTAGTCATTAATTGTACAGCATGTAAGTTGTAAATTGCCTACTGTTGGGTGCATTTGTCTTAAAATGGCTTTTCTTTTCATGTTGTGAAGAGTTTTCTTGTTTCTTGGTTGAGAAAGTGAGATTTGGATTATGTGGTGTACAACTGCAGGGGATTGATCCTTTCTATTGGAGAAACTACTCAAAGGGATGTTATTCTGGGGCATTTTGGAAACTTGTAGGGAGCTCCAGCCTGTGTTGAACTGTAGCAGATGCTCTGGGCAGCACCTTATGTTGGCAGGAGTTTGTGTGGAGACTGTTTGGAGAACTGAGCTTGTCCATCCTTGTTAGATGCCAGATTTGTATCTTAACCACGTGTACGGACTGTTCTCTCTGTTGGGTGCTATACAAGTTACTGACTGCAGTTTCCTCTGTGGTAAACTGAATCTTACGGGATTTTGGTTTTTTCTCTGTGTCCCATTGGAAGCTGTGAAATGGGCCATCTGTCATTGCAGAAATTGAGAGCTGTGTGTGACTTCTGCCGGTTGGGCTAGAAAATGTTTTCCTCTGAAGATGTTTGACCTGAAAATTCAGTTCAGAGAGAGTCAACCTGACAGTTTGTACTTGTAGGCTGGGATTCTCAATTGTTTTTACCCTCCTCAGGCTGTGCCCTGGTCCTGTGGTAGCACTGTCATTTCTGCAGTGGAATTAGTTGTTTCAAACCTTCCTTGGATGCATCTGCAGTCCCTTCAGATACCGTGTGCTTGTGGCTGTTGCTGGAGGAGGTCACAGGACACTTCCATTGTTTCTTTTGGCTGGAACTTGCTACCATCATCCATGCTAATTGCTTTCTAGATCTGAAAATAAAGTGGAGGTTCTTTAGACTTTTGGTTCATTCTCTGTTCTTGCACATTGCTTCTATCCTCAGCCTGGGATGCTTGTCTCATGCCTACAATAAAGGATTCTTTCATCCTCTTTCAACCAGGCTCAGCATTTGTATGTGCTCTTCAATCTCTCTTTGATTTCTAAATGATAGAAGTCAAGTGTACCTCTTAACAACAGTATGCAGATACTGGGAGAAAATCTCAATTTTTTTCCATGATAATGGTAATCCTGGCGGAGCTGAGCACTGATGCAGGCTCCAAGTCAAGCCTGCTGTTACTCCCTCCTTGCAGAGTGAATGTCTGCTTTCAGAGTGGTCAAATCTGTTGTATAATTTATTGCCTGCTTCATACTTCTGTATTGCTGGGATTTACGATTTGGGGGTTTGTCTATGTGGGGGGAGCTGATTGGAGAGGAAGATTAACGTCTGGTTCATGTCCTGCTAGGAAGTACAGATTTGTGCTGCTGAGAAAAATGTCTGGGTGCTGTGGTCTGCTGCACAGATCTGTCTGATTTAGCATCTCCTGTCACAGAACCATTGGAGGCCTGGTTTTGGACATGGTTGTTTCAGTTGCTTAGAACTAAGACTAAAGACAGTTTGAAGCACGGCTACCTTATTCCTTTGTTGTTTTTCTTTTTTTGTGCCACCAGAGATTTTTCTCTCTCTCCACTGCTTGCACTGATCTGTGCACAGGCAGACATATGTCACTTGCCATCTCTTGATTTTTTTATATTTTCATTTCTTTTGACTCTACCCAAAATACATTCTTCCTGGCTGCTGGGGACATGAGTTCCATGGCTTTGTTAGAAAACTTTAGAATGAAAGGTAGGAATGCTGCAGAGTTGTTGTTACAGCATTTGTTTATGTAGATGACTGTCAAACCCTTGCACTTTTTAACTGTTGACATGCTTCAGAAATAGTTTGGTCATATATTGCATTACAGAACCGAAGGCTTTTTTGATAAATATTTCCAGTTTGTTAGTATTGAAGATACCTGCTTCTATTTTCTATGAATGCATGGGGTAAAGTAAGTAGGTTTCTCCTGATATCCATGTGGGTTTAAGAATTCAAGCGCCATAAATGGCACATCAGTGTTATTGACAAAGTGTTCTGAAACACACCATCATGTAGAAGCTTGAAGTGGGATTTTCTCTTTCCCTGTGGAGGTTAAAAAGCCCAGTAAGCCCACAGAGGAGGTACCAGGCTTCTGTCTGAGAAACGAGACCTGCAGTGTTGGTCGTGAGGCTTAAATGCTTCACCTCAAAGGTGATTCTAAAGTCTGCTTGAAAGCATAAGTCCTAGAAAGCTAGGAAGCATTTTTTTGAGGGTCTAGTATTTTCATGTAGAAAGCATGTTTAAAGACCTTTTTAATGACAAAGAGATGACAGTGTGGAGTGACTGTCAATAAAGTAAACGAATTGAATTAGATATTCTATGAAAATACAGATTTTTCCAACAGATGGTAAACTGGCATTCCTTTCCATCTCACATCTGATTCTCTTAGTCATACCTTACTGCTGTTTACATGTTATGGGTGTGGCTGGTGAACTTGACAGAGATTTATTTTGTCAGTTGAAAACCTTTCATATTTTGAGCTCTCTGTGGAAGCCTTAAGTTAGGTGAGATTTCTAGTGCAGATGCAGATCCAGGTAAATACAAACCCCTCACTTCTCCTGTTCCTAATCTAATGTGTGTAACTTGAGTTTCTAGAAATAAGAGCTGCATCCGGATGAAAAATAAGGACAGAGGTTTGTGTGAATAGATAAAAATGGCTGTTAACTGTAGAGCTAACAGGCTGAGTTGTTGGATACAGTTCTGGTGTAATAGGAACAAAACTGGTCTAGGTTCTATAAGCTTATGTTGAATTATGCAACAGATAAATATTAGCTTTTCATATTGTAAGTCCTGGGTTTTCCTCGTAACTCCTTTTATCCTCTTAATAGGGCTTGCATAATACTAATGCAAAATGTGCACGCGACAAAGCTTGCTGTTCCCACTTAATCATAAAATATTTGCATTTCAGCTCAAATCAAAGAGAAAATGAAAGAAAGGGAAAAGAAGCAAAAAGAGAAGAAGAAGCACAAAATAATGAATGAAATAAAGAAAGAAAATGGAGAAATCAAGTTACTGCAGAAAGGTAGGTTAAATTGCATAGTGTTTTTTGTTGTGGTATTTAAAACCTTTGTAATTGGATTGAGTGCTGAATCTTAATACTGAGTTTTTTATTTTAACTTAAATGCCATTTTCTCAGCATAGCTGCTAGAATGCTTGTAATTTAAAGCTTTAATTATAAACTTGTCAACTATGTTAGGTACTGCAATTAAAAAGTAGAACTATTGCCACAGTGCTTCTTGCACAGTGGTTCCTGAAGGACACCTGAAGGACGGTATGGTTGTTGGTCTCAGCTGACATGAGTTCATGAACAGAAGGTCCTGTTTATCTGACTTGATTTCCTTTTATGACAAGTCACTCATCAGGTTGGCCAAGAGGGGCCAGCTGATGTTATCTTTTTGGATTTCAGTATAGTTCTTGATACTGTTTCTCACACTATCCTTCTGGTTTCTCACACCAAATGCCCCTTCTGCAGCTAGGCAAAAACATAATGTGAGCAACTGGCTGACAGGTAGGGCCAAAGGGTTATAGTAAATGGGATTACATCAGACTGGTGGCCAGTCACTAGTGGGGTACCCCAGGGCTCTGTTTTAGGGCCAGTTCTCTTTAATGCTTTCAATAAATGACTTGAATGTTTTGAACAGGTTTCCTGACAATACTGAATTGGGAGTAGCTGTTGATTCTGTCGAGGATGGAGAGATCTTGCAGGGAGAAATCCTGCTTCTCTCAGTGTCTTTTTCTGTGAGTGATGCTGTGCTCCCACAATCATTTTTCTGGCTCGTTGCTGGACTTACTCCAGTATGCCCATGTCTGTCTTGGACTGCTGATCCAGAGTTCTGTGTGACACTCCAGATGTGTTACATCAGTGCTTAATTAAGTGGAAGAACTGTCTCCATCAGTCTGCTGGCAGAGCTCTTCCTAATTCTGTCCAGGAGGCTGTTAATGATGGCTTATGGTCAGTTTGTCATTCGTGAGGACCCCCAACTCCTTTCCTTCCAGGCTACTTTCCAGGCAGTTTTGTCTTCAGCCTGGATGGGGGCATGACTTTATTATTCAGTGCAGTACTCTGTGCTTCCCCATGTTAACTGTGTGAGACTTTTGTTGGCCTAATTCTCTGCAGCCTTCTGGCTTGGCAGTACAACCTTCTTGTGCATCAGCTGCTCCCTTCTTCCAGTTTTACACTGTCTGCAGACTTGCTGAGGAGTGTGCTTTGTCTCATCATCCCCATCATTAATAAAAATGTAGTATAGCATTGTCTCAAGGTATCAGCACCTGGAATTCTCTGGTAGTGGCTGTCCTCCTACTGGGCTCTGTGCTGCAAATCACAGCCCTTTGAGCATATTAGTAAAGCCAATCCTTGATCCACCTCCTTCTGCGTTTGTTGAGGCTGTTTGAGTAGATCCAATATTTTTTATTTTCAGACTCAGCTTTCATAGTTAAAGAACAAATTCCTGATAGATTTTTCTGCTACGATATCATTTACAACAAGAAATAAAACTCCCAAATCAAAACATTATCTTCAGTGCATTCATATGAGGTCATGGACATGCAATTGTGTGATTACTGTGTCACAGTTCAGAGTATAAATGCAGCTCCAAGTAATTGCATTAGCAACTGACAGCTCATCACCTGTCCTGATCAGATCTCATGGTATCAGCTTAGATGTTGTGGAATGTTCAAGCTGGTGACTTCCTGTGAAAAGATGCAACTTGTCTTTGTCAGTGTGGAAGGAAGTTGGTGGTTGAGATACTGAGCAATGTGTAACTGCCTTAACAGTGAGAATGTTCAGGTTGTGTTTTTGTGCTATCCTTTCCTACCTCATGTGCTGAATGGCAATAGAAATAAGGCACAGGATAAGAACTTAGAAAGACAGCAACTCTTGTTACACAGATCTAATAAGAGACACCTAATGAAGGTATTGCACCTGAAATGGTGCTCCATTGTTTAAAGTAGGTGGAAAAAAAAAAGGCATGTGCCACAGGGGTTGCATAAGATTACCTCTGCTTGTTAGAGCTAGTTGAATAACAGAGTATGTTGTCCTCACACAGAACAGTGCTGTAAGTAGGTTAAATGCCTGGTCTGTGTTTCACAGTCTCCTTGTATCTATTATCAGACAAGAACCATATTTTAGGTTTCCTTTAGAAATTGTACAGAAATGTTTGTAGAGGCAGTGCTTGGTTTTGCTGTGTCTGCGGTGTCCTGCAGAAATGGCTCCTGTTTCAGGGAAAAAAAGGAGAGCAGTCATTAGGAAAGCAGGCAGATTTCCTCCACTGGGTTTATATCCTGTTCAGGACAGCAGTTCTGGATTTGTCTGTGGGCCTCCTGAGATCTGGCTGGCTGTGCTTAAGTGGTCTGTGATGATTGTACAGCATTTCCTGATTATTCTGCTGATGTAGCTTTATGTGCTGAGCTGAGGGCTAGAGAGCAAAGGCTGATGTGCTTGAAGGTGCAACTTGTATGTGTCTGTGGTCAGCACCTCTGTGACCTTCTGAAAGGTTAGTAACTCTTCATCTAAGGATATCTTCTTCCTGGAACTTCCTGGAAATTAAGCTCTAAGCCCTTTTATTCTCAGCTCAGAATTCACTGTGTGGACTTGAGTGCAAAGACAGACTTCAGTGCCTGTCTGTGAAGCCCGCTCGTTTCCTCTTTCTAGGTGTCAGGTCCAGATCTTGTTCTAAAAATGTCACTGACTGTCTGCTGAATGCTTTTATTCTTAAGTTGTGAAGGTGATGTTAGTGTTTCAATTTGTCGTCTTTCCTTTTTTTACCTTTTGTTTGAGACTTTCCTTAAGGTGATGGTGGTGATAGGCTGCGTAGCTTCAGACAGTTAAACCAGGTGTCCAAGATAAGGGTGGCTAGCCTTGGGAGAGGAAGCCAGTACTGAAGGTTTGGTGCTTTTTTAGGGAGTTGCTGTCCAAGCCTGATTTTGGTGCTTTGAGCTGCATGCTGGCAGAGTTTGCTTCTGCTGTTTGAGAAGTTTAGGGATGTGTGCTGTTCATCTGCCTGAATTTGTGTTGCTGTTTCTGTTGAAAGCAACTTGCCCTAGTTTGGAGGACAACTCTGAAAGGGCTTTTTTTTTTTTCTCAGCTCCTGACTTTCTAAAGGAAATGTTTTGCTCTTTCAGTGAGCCTGGTGGCTTTTGTATACATCTAGGGCTAAATGCTTTTTTTTTTTTTGTCATCGTTTTGCACTAGCAGGTATGTTTTCTGCAGAATAAGACTATATACTTACTGCTGCTGCTTCTCTCTAGTTTTCTATTTGGAAGAGAGACCTGTGTTTTTTGGAGAAGAAGAAAACCTAGCACAAGCATATTGTTAAATGTTAAGAAAATATAAGCAATTTAATTGTGCTCTTCCAAAAATCTGCATGGTTGGGGAAAAAAAAAATTGAAATATTTTGTGAGGAATTTTTACACTGCTGTGATGATGGTTAAGGGCTACTGGAGGACCAGCAAGAAGAAGAAAGAAAAAAGAAAAAGGCTTATTTGTACACAGTACCATTTTTTTTCCTTTTAAAACAAAACAAAAAGTCAGCCCTATTTTCCTGATATTTGTTATTTCTAAAAATGCAGAGAAGAGCTGAGAATAAACATCTTTATCTTACCAGCATTAAAATCTGTATGTACAAATTATTTTCAGAAGCTTTTTTTTGTTCTGGAATTATATTGTACTTTCTTATGAACCTTCTAGATTTTTTATAGATGGGTTTTGCACAGAAGTGATTATAAAATCTGTATGCATGCGACCTCCATCTGAGTCATACTGCCTGCTTTTTTTCCCACTTGCTATATTTGGTCTTTGTGTTCCTCTACAAATCCTCAAACATTTTCCTTATTTAATACACTTGAGTGGATGGGGATGGAAGAGGCTGAGGTGAGAGCACAGGAGGTGCAGCCCACCACAGTCTGTATGCAGCAAGTTGCCAACTTCTACCTGTAAAATAGATGGATGCAGAGTAAGACATGTAAAATAAGAGGTATGGTACGTGTGATGAGATCATCTGAGAGCAGAGCTCTCATTCCTGTAGGCCTCAGACATTTTTCAGAGATAATACATGTGCTTACCTTGTGTTGCCAGTAGGTTGCTGTTATGAAGTTTTATGCAGTGATCTTTGCTTCTACTTGCCCTTTGTTCCTCCCCTCCTCTTTACCTGACTGCCTCGTTTCTACTGCTGAAGTTGTTGCTGGCTGTGCTACTCCTGCTTAGCTAATGCCTTCAGTTGGCATGATTGCTGAGTGCCTGAGTGGATCCAACAGTGCTGGACTTGGGTGATCCCTGCTGTGATACACGGTGACACCATGGCAGCACCTGTCAGCTGGAGGAAGAGGAAAGCTGCTCTGGCATTGAAGGAGGTGGGGAAATAATTCATCAGAAAAAAACAACCCAAACCCCACGCTGCTGCCTGTGAAACCTGTGCAGGCTGACAAGTTCTTTGTGTGTAATTTCTTTAATTGAAAAATATCCGAATAATTCATCTTAAGAAGTAAGTACAAATACTAGGCAAATGATGGTAGGCTGTGGCTATAATGTGCACATGTATCACCGTGAAGTAATATTAATTTTTTTAATGATTCTATTTCAAGTACAAGGAACTCAAAGGCAAGATTTGCCAGAGAATTGCAGCGCTGTCATACCTACAGAAAGCTCTTCCTTTGAGATCAGGGCTTCTGCTCTCAGAAGCTAGTATTTTTTTTTTTGCTAGTAAATTGTTTTGGTTAACTTGCTGGGTGAGTCCAGGCAGAGTGGATGCACACAACACAATCACAGGGCAAAGGATAAACATTTGGTACGTGTGAAGTAGACTTCATTTCTGGAGCTATTGGAGAGAGCCTAGTGTGGGACCATAAAGACTGATGGGACTGGAGCACCTCTGAGGACAGGCTGAGGGATCTTGGCCTGCACAGCCTGGGGCAGAGGAGGCTTAGGGGGACCCTAAATACCTGAAGGGAGGGTGCAGAAGGGCTGGAGCTGGGCTCTTGTCAGTGGTGCCCAGTGCTGGGACACGAGGCATTGGGCACAAATTGAAA